TGAACCAGTATAAAGGATTGGGCTTTGCAATTTTTTGTAAGTGAGAATCCCTTGTGTCTGCACAGAAATCTAGTGGAATACTGTTCTGGAATTTGGCCCACCTGTTCACTTCTTTTTCAATAAGCAGTGTAAAGTAGAGACCTCAAGAGGCCAAAACTTCTAATTGTTTTCCTTCGTTCGCAGGGATGTTGTTGCCGAGTTGAGAATGGGCCCGTCCGCATCTAGATGACGGCCAGCCTGAGTGCTTGGACGAGAAGATTTTTTTTCTGAAGAGGGTAGTATGTGAAAACATCGGTCATCTGGAAGGATTTCTCCCGCTCAAAAGGAACAGGGCTATGGTCACCACCTTTTCTTTGTTATACTTGAAAAGGAGGCCATGCTGCAGCTATGCAGTGTTGATGTTGCAAATGTGGATTTTCTCTCTCTCTCTCTTTTGTAATATTTTCATTGTGGTATAAAATTCGGCAATTTCACAGACTGGATTGACTTGTTTGGATTTTGAAACAAACAAAGATTTGAAGGAATTCTCTTTTTTGTACCAGCATTGAGTATTGCAAGAGGTAATGAAAATTAAAAATTACCAAAACAGTTTTGGTACTTGAGCTCTGTATTTCAGTACTCATTTTGAACAAAAGTGAATAGTAGCGGCTAATTGTAAAAGTTTGTTTAAACATGTTTTTAATGTTTGAGGCAGACGGGGCTTATGGAGTCAGCCTTGTGAATGCCCTCATGGAATGTGCACGGAAGTGAAGTTGTAGTTTTGGTTTGTTTTTTTTGTTTTTGTTTTTTTTGTTTTTGTGTTCATTTTGTTTACATTTATGCAACAAAACAGCTGTAAAGAATGTCTGTACTCGGTTGACATTACTTTTGAAAATGGCAGATAACAGTAAAGTCTACCATCTTAATTTTGCCTCGTACATTTAAAAATCTGTGACCATGTTAACCTGACAATTTTTCAAATGTAATATAGCATTATACAGATATAGCATTATACTGCTCGATGCCTTAAACTAGTTGTCCAGTTTTCCAGTACCATATTGTACATACATTTAATTTAAAACTATAACCTCAGTCAAAGTTTGTGCAAAATACGAACTGGATTCGTATTTTGAGCTTGGTGGTGTGTAATATACTATAATTGCTGGCAATTGTAAAGATAACAATCGTTTAAAGGTAACGCCCCTATGGCTTTTATTCCCTACCTGCCACACCCCCTTACGTACGTAGACATGTGATGTAACAAGGTGCGCAGTAGTCCATTTTGGTAGTTCATTAACGTATGTTCATTGTTCGTTGGTGTGGAATTTTAAAAAGCCGTGGTTAGTCAGTCTGCTGGGTGCTCTTTGTAATGGAGGTGTGGGGTTCTAGTGCATGGCGCCATGCCGTGACCAAGAGTTTTTGGAAGTACATTACCACGGTAAGAATACAAACCATTTTTAACCTCCTATTTGATGATATCTTGGAAGTAGTTACCCTGAGGACACCTCTCCCATTATGGCATTTTTCAGATTGTCCAGAAATCTCTTGTTAATTGTGTAAATGTTGAAGAAAAGCCTGGTGCTGTAGATCGAAATGTCTATTTCACTACCGTGAAAGCTTCGCCGGACACAGGTCATCACGTGTGAATGGTGTGTCATTGTTTCATTTTGCTCAACTGTTGCTCCTGACTATGGCCACAGTTTGGTGATGAAAGGTTTTTCTTGTGACGCTTAGATTTTGGTCTGATTCCTGTGGTTCATGCACTTACAATCTGTGGACAGGGGCAATCTCCAATACAGGGCTGAAAAGCTCGCTTGGTAGAGTATTGTCACGATGTTCCCGCAGCTCTGGTCAGCTTCTTTTCTCCCGATACTCTCTATTCTTCAAATACGTCCTGGCTTAGATTTGTTTATTTGGATGTTTTATGTTTGATAACCTGACTGTTGCAGGTCTGAGTGCTGGATAACGTATTTTACATCATTTTAATGTGAACATCACAATTTGTAGTCTTTATGGTCATTGTGATTACTGTTCACGAGTCTTACAATGCCATAATAATTGAAAGAGTTAGGTAGGTATCTGGCTACCATATTTTTTTTTCTAAATTTCATATTTGAAATGCTGAATGGACCTTGTCAGTGAAAGCACAAGGTACTGTGGAAATATTTTTAAGCTTGGTGGATACAGAACTCCTGCTTATTATATCAATCAAAATAGCTTAGATCTAGGCAAAAGGGTCACATAGGGATGGGGGTTGTGGTTTGAACGGTCAGACTCGTAGACAACCAACAAAACACACAGCAGTGAGGAGACCAGTCGGTTTTCAGTTATTTTATTGGTTCATCTCGAACCTCACAGCTTCTTTATGAGCTGACAGAAATTCTAGCTGTTTTTGTTATTTCATTATACAGAGATAAATTCTTACAGATGTTTCTTTTTGTCCCGGGTTTTGTAAATAAAGTTGAACGACCTAGATGATTATACTTCCACTAATATGTTGGTTTTATGAAATTTGCTGTGAGAGCTGGAAGTTCCCACTGTCAGATTACTTTGGCAAAACTCGGTTACCGGTACTTTCCTTGTTTTACAGTGATAATTCTTGGCACTCTTTTCCTTGCTGCGAGTAAGTCTGAATTAGATACAGTGTTTGTGAATAGCCAAATTTGTTTTCAGTGTGTTATCAATTACTTTCCGTGATTTTCATGATGATCAATTTTACAAGTTCAATTTTACAAGTTTGATCCAATTAGTACGAAGAGCTAAGGGATTAATCCTATCAGTTTTGTTCCGTATTTATGTTTAGTTTCCTTTGTGATTGACAATAATGCCTTTTTTTTGCGACTTGAGAAGAATGCATTTCAGAAATTCATTTTGTCGTCCTACACAGAGTTTCAAATAATTTTTTTCCAATAATTGAATCAGTCACTGAATATTTCTTATCCAGCTGCTTCCATCTGGGAAGTCTTTGAATTTTCAACAAACTTTATCAGAACGCTGCTGCTGTATGGTAACCAATCATGGTTTTTTGTATATTCAAAATAGTCAGCTTTTATCTGTTGCAGCTTTTATCTGTTGCTGACTATTCAATTCATGCACTGAAATTCATGGTGAGGAGGATATCAACCTCTGCGTGCAAAGCTGTGTGTCGCTTCACTCTTTCTGGACATAATGTCAAGCTTGTCCCGTTTTCAATATGTACTTGGCGTCAGTCGGTGAGACTTTTTTTGTGAATAAAATGTGATGCACTTGCCCCGTGCCATGTGGCTGCATGTACATGTACAACTGGCCTCGTGTATGGAAGTTGCTTGATTGTACACGCACTGTATTTGGGAATATGGATGTGAAACAAGATAAGATTTGATACTCGACTCCAAGGAGTATTTTACCTCCAAAGGCACCTCTAGAGTGGTTCCTGGTTTCAAATGGAAATAGTGCCCTGTGAATCTTCCAAATTGCATATTGATGAGGATGGAGATATGATGTGGCAAGAAAGGTGGCGAAGGGTTTGTGCATTAAGTCGTGTCACCAAGTTGTTGCTGGTGACCGTGGTTTTCGACAGCCCAAGATGCAAGTTTGTGCAAATTTATGGAGAAAACAAAAGAAACAAGAAGTTTAACATGCCTGTAATATAATCACACTGAGAAGAAAAACGGAAGTGTTGTTTAGTTTTCGGTGTTGTCTTCGTGCGGACTCTGATCGCTTGGTCAACAAAAATGAAATGAATTTGGTAGTTCGGATGTTTGACCTCAGTCACAACTCAGACTTGATCCCAAACATTCTGTTGCCATTAACTTCATGACTCAAACTGATGTGACGCACAAAGTTATCTGACTTGCTGATGTGGACTTGGTCCCAGAAACCTCCGTGACTGTGCAAGTCGCTCTGCACAGATTTTTAAAATGGTGGACTTGCGAAAGGATTCTGCCAATCTTTGATCCTCTGACTGAGAGACAGTTGCAAGACTCAACTTTGAAACACGGACTTTTACGACCCCCAAGTTGAAGTTTTTCTCAGACCATCTAGACTTCCCCCAGTGTCATCCCCTTCCAGTCTTTGTGAACTGAAGAACAAGCAAGTGGTAAATCCTATTCCAGAGCTTAAGATTTCAAGAACCTCCGAGGAAGAAATAGCTGTTAAATCACGAATGAGAAACCCTTTTGTTCAACTTTTAAAAAAACCAAAAAATTAAAAAATAGCATAGCAATTTGAACTGTTTTTATCCAATGACTGCTTGTGTTGAAAAATCAAAACCGCTTCTGGTATCAAATTGATTGCACAAATGCTGTAGGTATGTTGACAACATAAAAATACAAATAAACTTAAAACCTAAAGATGTTTTCCTGGCGATTTTTTTCAACAAAACATCAAGAAAATGAATCTAACATATGACTTAAATCAAAACAAAATAAGTACGTGAAGAAAAATGTAAAATAAAATTTCACGTGACGAAACCTGTGCAGTCATGGGCTGTATCAGTAACTTCAAAATGAAAAACCAAATGGAACTCAAGAGAGAGATTGCTTTGCTCTGAACTGAGTGAAGATTGTATGCTTCAATGATAGGCTGCACTGACAACTTTGTAACAAAAAGTTTGGAAAGTGGACAATTTTTTTTTCTTTTTTTTCTGTGGTAAATAACAGGACCAGTTTTGCAAAATTCAAATGACCTACTTTGAAAAAACAAATCAAAACCAGGGGAACAAAAAATAATCTAATTCACTGCGTTCAAAGATGAAAATAAATTCCAAACAAAAAAACTTCACTGCAGACCTGGCAGACAAAATGTCGATTGGGGTGCAAAGACCGAGTAATCGACAAATTTGGACCAGACTGCTTCAGCGGACGGTAATGCTAGACTATTAGGGTGCAAGAAGGGGATGAAATCAGGAACAAAAATCTAACTTTGGTGTCGTCAGTGCAGCAGATCAACTTTGTTGTTTAAAATGAAAAAGAAATCCTTTGATTGAATTAACTGTGTCAAGATTGCTAAAGTTGAAAGTTTTACCCAGTAAAATTACTGAAAAAAACATAAAAAGAACCAAAATAGCATGCTGTATAATATAATTTATTCTTTTGTAGTATGTGTGAAAACATGCTACCAAAATAAACTTATCTCCTAAAAATAAGTCACTAACGCAGCCCATGAGTCAAAACACATGTTGACAACTTGTAATTTGAAGATATTAAGCAAAAAAACAAATGAAAAGAAAAGACGAAAACAAAACAATTTGAAGTAAAAGTTCTTGATGAATCCTATTGTTTGTGTCCCTGAGTAAGACATTACTGTAAGTGCTGAATTCTCTCCACCCAGGAGCCACCAATGTGCAACCGTGAACCGAGTGGCGATGATGCTAAGGTGGAAATGTCTGAGAAAAGCAACCATGTTTTCCATGCCGTGGAGTTGAGCAAGATGACAAGAATGTCACATACCGGAAAGACTGTCCTACTCTATGCTCTGCATTTGTCTTGAACCTATTTTGAAAGATTGATAACAGCTGTTTCTTCCTGGAGAGAAAAACCTGTGATGTATGAACTGATTGAGGATGACACTGGACACACCCAGTGGAACACCTTTGACCTTTGACATTCCTGCTTGATATTTTTCCCAGTCATTTAGACCAGCTGGACCTCAACTTGACTTTTTCAACTGTTGCCCTTGATTTTGACTTTCTACCAGACCGGCTTGATCAAACTTTGTTAATGGCTTTACTGCAAACTCATCCATCATGTTCAAGTTGATGTCATTTTTTGGGGGGGAACATCAGAGTCGAAACACCAAAAACCAACCATTTGGAAAGAATTTGAACATGACTGAAATAAATCTAACAGTGAAACAAACATATCATTGAACACAGAAAAATAAATCAAATTCTATTTATGAGGAAAAGAAAAGATGTTTTAGGTTTGCTTCAAGTTCAAAAAGTAAAAAAAAAAAGTCACTACCAAGAGAAGAAACAGACGGAAAGATTTTGCATCTTGGGCTGTCGGGCAGGCAATCTGTTTACATGTCAGTTATGGTCAGGTCATCCAGAGGAATCTCTACGAACTCCAAGTCGTAGGAGGATTGCTGCTTGACTCCATCATTCTGGTCGGTGGTCTTACGGTCATTCTCGGCCAGAATGCGAGCAGCGGCAGATGTCTTGGAAATGGCCTGCTGAGGTCGAACCTTCTTGCTCGGTTTCTTGCCTTTTGGTCGGGAGACTTTCTTGGAAGCCGGATTTTCCTGTTTCTCGTTTTCGATCTTCACCTGTGGTTGACAGAGAGATAAGGTGAAGATGGACCTTTTCTTGTTGTACCCACTTCTTAAAGCTGAATCAGTCAGCCACTCCGTGAAAGGGCTGCTGAATAAGTCAGACACCTGCCCTAATTAACAGTGTGCTGTAGTCAAGACCTCTTCAGACCATCACAAAAGCCCACAAGACTGTCACAAGGCCAACATAAGACCATCACAAGGCCTACACAAGATCATCACAAGGCCAACATAAGACCATCACAAGACTATCACAAGACCAACACAAGATCATCACATGACCAACACAAAACCAACAGTCCTCCAGTCTGAATTGAAGTCACAAGTTATTCAGATGAAATGTTCATAACTGTCTGTTCACCCTGTCACTTTGTGAATAGTCTCAAGATGGTCTCAACTGCAGTATTTTAGCAAGGAGAAAGTAGGAGAGTTTTGACTCGTGTTTTTTGACTCATTCTTTGTGGTATTTTCTTTTGTGTGTGCAAAGGAGGGAATTTCGAGGATCTTCATCGATTTTACAAAGCTTTATCAATGCTTTTGGTTTTTCTTTTTTTTATATTCTGTTCCTGAAAGCCCACTAATTAGTTTTTGTTCCTTTTTTTTAGTTAAATGACGGTAAAACTTACATTGGCAGTTGGCTGTGTTTTGGACTTTTCCACGCAGAAAATTGAGAAGTCAGGCCCAAATCTGGAAGCCAGCTGTGATGAAAAAGTGAAAACAATTTATTTCCTGGATGATTCACTATGTACATTTCAATACATAAATAAATCACTGACTTGTCCGATTGTAGGGGGAAAATGTGTGCCTAACACTGATAATGTGAAATGTAGCTATGGCATATCTTTTTTAACCTTTGGTGGGGTGGCTGGAGTGGTGTCCTTGAAATCATCAATCGAGTTGGACTCGGAGACAGCGTGGAGTGAGGCAGAGACAAAGTTGTTGACCATGGGTTTTCCTGGTCTGGCTCCAGATGCTGGTCTAGCTCCGGCCACTGGTTTAGTCCTGGCGACTGGTTTGGATGCGGCGTTGTCGTAAGGCTGAGAGGGATGAGACATGGCATGGAAACATCATCAATGTGTGACCCTCCCGACCTACCCCCACCAGGATCAAGTACAGCGAGTTACTTTCTGTTCCAACAAATTACTTGCTTTGACATATGCAAAAGATTGGAACGTATACAGCTCCAAAACTGGAGCAATTATGGGTATGATATAAAGCCCAAATAGCTTGAAATCCCATATGAAGCAAGATATGAGATGAGGAGAACCCCCCTGCTTTGTGTTGGTCATTGCCCCAATGGAATCTGAGGAATTCTTTTCAGACATCTAGGGGGGATGCATTAGGTGACAATAGTCTAGAGTGTGTATAGCGATTGGAGATGTTGGGGGGGTACCCCTCGGTCTCATTTCTTGCTGGATATATGAAATCTGTTGAACAAAGAAATGAAAATGGAGTTGGCACATTCACAAATAAGAGGCATTCTTCAGTGGATCCTAAGTTCTGTAAACCATCATGTACATTTCGGATGTTTCATCCCCGAATAGGAGATTTCAGACAATCATAGCTATCATGATTTCTGGTGGATTTACTCAACCTCTCTCTGATCAGATGAAGAAGTGCTAGCTCTGTGACAATTCTTGATCAAAGGGTCTCCTGTGCTCATCTTTACGGGGCACAGCTTCTCAGTGAGTCACAATAACATGAGCAATGACTGTCCATTGGGACGGGTGTCAATTGGTGAATGGTACGTACAGGATCTACGGTGACTTTCGGTGTGGACGTGTTCACAAAGATGTTGGTGAGCGAACGTGTCAGCGGTGCTCCCATGAATGGATTGGTGAAGTTGGATTCCTCATCGTCTGTGTCCCCGACAATCATTGCTGCGACCTATGTACAGCATTGTCACAAAATAAATAGATCAAACGATCTCCATGAATAAAAAATAAGCATATCTAACTGACTGACAAGTTGCAAAGTGGGAAATTCTTCAGTAGGCAGGATTCACGAGGAACATAATCCCATCCACTGTGTAAAAAGTTGAGATTGGGACGAACTCTGTATTATGTGATGTACAGGGAGCTAGAATACGTGCATATCAATGTGGCCACAAGCTTGTGACTTCTCCAGTAGCTTCCACTCCTAATTAAAATGTTCAGGACATTATTATTTTCTAGCCTTATTTCCTTTTTTTTTTGGGTGGGGGGGGTCAGGGAGGGATGATTCTTCCTCATCCCCCAAATTTCTTTGCCCCTATTCTGTTCTCCTGCGCTCTATATTTTGTTGAAAGCTCTAGAGCAGTCATCAGCTCCGGTATTTATGCGATGCTTCGGCAAAGGATGGGGTGCCCTGTCATTCGTGAAATACTCCTCCGTCATCCTTGACTGTTTTCCCTGAAACCAGCACAACGCTAAGTGTTTTCTTTCTGAGGAGCTTCTGTTGTCGTAGACCTCACCTGGTTGGTCTTGATGTGGTACGGGAAGTACTTGTTGGTCTTGTCCGGCCTGGTCAGGATCAGGAAGTACATGTGTCCGATAAACGTGATGGTCCAGTACACACCGCTCACGATCTTGGCTCTGTGGAAACATGTAGCATCTCAGTGGTGTCCTATCTTGAATGTTAAGTTTCTTGTCATTAAGGTTAACAGTTTCCCCAAAAATTAAAAATATAGATCAATATTTGTTGTTTTGGAATTAACACGACATTTTGAGGCTGGTGAAATGCATCACAGATCCATATCAGTTTCACAGAAAATAAAGAAGATAGGAATTCTTTCCTTTTTTCAGTCGTTAAAACACTGCAACCGTTCCCGGTTCAGGTAAGGCTAAGGCCGTGTCCAAAACGGGCTTCCAGAGTTACGGCTGGGTCCATTGTCAGCGTGTCACCACACATATCCAATGGAATGAAGACCTAGACCTAGCTCTAGACAACAGGTTTGGACGCAGCCTGAGATGTCAATAGTGCTGCGAGTCGAACCTTTGTTCTACAGCACTCTCATATAACCAAATGGACTTCTCCGATAAATTTATATTTAGAATACTATGGTGACCACAAATTAATTCTAACAGTGACCTTAAATAGGAAAATATCCACAAGAGATTGTACCCTGTGCTAGGTGTGTACTCCTTAGGTTTGTTAGAAAGTGAGGGGGCTGTGTGAAGTGGTACTGAAGGACCAACCTGATGTATTTAGGGATGAACTCGTTGGCCACACCGATCATGACGGGCTCGGCGGAGAACCACATGCAGTAGAAGAGCATGAACAGCACGTAGAACTTGAGCTTGTGGGTGAAGTTTTTGACGGTGAAGAACACGCAATAGTAGAGCCAGATAACTCCTGCAGTGAAAGAGCGGGCAGTACTGGGTCAACAGGACTCGAACCCGAGACCATTGGATGATGATCCAAGCAGTTCACCAGTCAATGATTAAGATGTTAAGATACTAACAGGTATGTTGGGCTTTTCATTTTATGAAACGGAATTCCTCGTAATTGAGTTGGTAGTGAAGTTCAGGTCCTGATAAGAATCCAGAGAAATCAAGTGTCATCCTTATTTTATCTGAAAAAATAACTGCAGGATGGATGCACAAGAACATTAGGTGGTTTCCTTGGATACCGACCCAAGACACGCAGCACAATGATTCCCATCCCAGCGGGGCTGTCGTAGATGAACATGACGTCCCTGGGGTCAAAGTTGGACTGACCGTAGGTGAAGAGAAAGACATAGGTCAGAGCATACAGGCTGATGAAGATGGCCAACTTGACACTCCCGCTGGTGCTGATTCGGCCCCTGCCGGGATGGGGGGGAATTGGCATTAAAAGCAAATTGTCTTCATGACATCGGGAAAAGTAGTTTTAAACATATTAATATGGAAAATAGTCTCACGCAGTGGTATATCCACAGTGACAGACTGGGCACTCCCAGCCCACCAACATTTTTAATTCTTTTGTTTTTTTAGGAATTGAGAGCAGTAACACTTTGTTAATGAAACTAGAACGTTCTTTGAGTTATAATGAAGAAGTTGGGACAAAAATCCCCATGTTGCTGTCCCTAACTCAAAGCATTGATATGGATACAGTGATACAACATCTGTAAAACTGTCAGTTAAAAGCTAGTCGGAAAATTATTTCACGTCATTTCCACTGTGATATATTCTTTACTTCTACAACAGAGCTGTGACCAGACCAACAGTACCAGTTTTCCATGTGCACTGAAGTCAACCAAACAGCGTTGTATGTTTTCAAATTACTGTTTCAGAAATTAAAACCTGAATCAATCTGCTAAAACTGTTGGGCTCTAAATTGAGCTAACACATTTCTTCAGAATTTACTTTTCCTTGCAGACTCTTATTCTAGGTTTCCACTGGTACTGATTTTTTTTTTTTAAGCTGAATTTTGATTTTGTCCGCCCCATGTCACAGCACTTGCCTCGTGATGGTGTAGCCTTTGCCGACCAGCATCAGCGTCAGAATAAAGATGACATCGCCAATTGCTGAGATCACATGTCCTGAAAGAAATGCAATCAAGCACTTTGTTATCACAGGCCTGTAGAAAACTTTCTCATCAAAGAAAGTTTGAATCCTCATGTAATCGTCAAAAGTCACTCGGCTTCCTGACTAATCCAATCTGATTTGATATTTGAAGCTGGAGGAGGCAACTTCTAAACAGAGTTATTCATTATCCCACGACAACAAAACTATCCCAGATTTTCTAGATAATCTCAGGTCTGAGAATATGAAAAGGGATAAGGTCAACATTAGCAAATCCCCTCCTCACTGACATTTTTCTTGCCATATATTCCTGAACCTAAACTTTAAACACATGTATATCATGCAGTCACCCATTATTTCCCATTCCAGCTCGTTTCAGGTTAAACAAAACTTGCCATATCTCAAACTATGACAAAGAAGTTCGTGTTGGTTGGCACTAGGTGACACTTGGGCAGCACGGGTGAACAGCCACACCCCAAGACCCTCCCATACATGTAATAGGGCCAGCCACACCCCTGACCACATGCACTCTCCCCGCCTCCTCCGCACATCTCATTCCTCCATTCCCTAGGACTGTTTTTCTTTTCTTACCGGTTGTCTTGAGTGCAGGCATCTCGATCCCATCCTGGGCGAAGCTGGCCAGGGCTCCGACGGTCAAGATGAGAGAGGCCAGCTGAAGGCAGATGGAGGTGAAGAAGAGCTGGTAGGTGGAGTGCAGGAGGCGCTTCTTGGACAATTGATCTTGAAGGAGGGGGCAAAAAGGTACATATCACTTGAACACCTGTGTTCTTTGGAGTAATTAACCAAGAAACCATGGAACTGTTTCACTCAGTGGTGTCGCTATAATTAGTATAAAGGCTTTGCATGGCAGCCATCTTGTAGACCAGTTCTTTTGCTCCACAGGGAAACCTCCTTCATTCATTTCCACTGGGAAAAAAGCACTGGCCTGCAAGATGGCAGCCATGCAAATTCTCTATTGTGATGCCCAGCCAAAATTTCATCCTAAGTGCAAGATATACCGAACTGACGAAAACCAAAAGGAATACTCACATTTATAGTAGGTTCCAGTCAAAGCCATGAGAAAGTACAGCGCAGTGAAGGCAATACTTGTCTCCAACGTGTCTGGAGTAACAATGATTGGAACACAAACAATAACATTCAGCTTATGAGACTGGATACAAATGAGAACTTTACTAGGTTGTAAGACGTGACTCCACCAAAACAAAACAAAAAATCCCCACAATTTCCTACAAGTAAGTGTCGATATAGATATCATACATTAAATATACATTAGATACATTAAATATCATATATAGAATGCTTGGCGGTTGAAGCACAAATTTCTTGTTTTTCATAGTTGGTTGTTTCTCCACTGTTGAAAATATAACAAAAATTGTTCCTAATTTGTCAAAATTTCTGACTGAACACCCAAAATGGTCACTGCCAATGAGCCATATGCATACCCATCACTTTTTTTATACATTGATTACATTATACATTTGATTCTTCATGTGGGGGAAAAATGCTGATGATAGGTTTATTCTCACAGCGTTCGTCGCCGGAGAAGTGCTTGTCCAGGGGACGGATTCCGTTAGTCATGTTGAGTTTGTACTGGATGTGAACCCCCTCTTGGGGGCTCATGCCGTTACAGTTGGCGATGTTGATGAACCACCAGCGAGGGCGCTTTGCTGTGAAGTGACGGGTGCCTGAGCAGACCAGCAACTGCAACCAACCAATTGGGAATAACCACTTGTGAGCGGTATTGTTGTCCAGGGCTCAAGATTTGTGGGACGTTTTCCTATAGTGCATCATCACTCTTTTGAAAGTGCAAGAAAGTGATATTTGTAACAGTGCCATGGCCCATGGCCAGTTGAGGGCCACATAAGTGCTCAACCTCCATCAACTAGTGCTCACCTTTGTGTGTGTACAACCTCAATGGATATCACTTCGGTACCACGACATATGTAAAAACATCACCCAGTGCTCCACAGAGGCTTTGCCAAGGCCTGTTTAAATGTCCTCAATGTCAAGGGCACAGAGAACCCTGCCATCGGTGTGGAGTGGCGTTACGGTATCGAGCATTACCTCTCGGCCATTCTCAGTCTTGTTCTTGCAGTTGTAGGGCGTGCTGAGAGTGATTTGAGTGTTGTAGTTGGACGGTATCTGAGCCTTCTTCTGCAGGCAAGTCTGCAACAGAAACCAAAAGTTGCCTTCATTATTTCGGGGTCTTCAACTCGTCCTTTCAGAGCTCCACACGTACTGTTGGAATGCAGGCAACGGATTTCAAAAAGAACCGTATGGCTGCCCAAAGGGGCTCTGTCTGCCCTCCTTAATCTTAATTTTTGAATGGAAACGGGACAGACCTTAAGGCGTAAATTACGCAGGTCAGTTGAAGGTAAAAACCTGTTTTGGCAGTGCTTCTAAATCTGACACATCTTTCTTGCTGTTATTTAAGAGACCTTTGCTATCCCAGCACAAAATATTTTGGACTGACAGAACAACTTTCGAGTACATGTACATATAACATACCAGTTTGTCTTCATTGGCTCTGATGTAAGGCCATTGATTATCTTCGTCATTGAACATTATCATCTGGTAACAGCAAAGTTCCTGTTGCAAAAAAAGAATTATCAGTTGGGCTGATCTTGAGGTAAATTGAAACGCTTAAATTATCAACACAAACAAAAAAAACACCATTAGGCCCCTACTGAAAATCTTAAAAGCGATTAATTAATGAGGGGAAGACGAGGTCAGTGTGTACCACTGCCCAAATGATGAACACAATCTAACAAAACTTTTCGTTAAAAATGGCCAAATGTGCAAAAATCACAAAACTGCAATATTTAAGAAGACTGATGAATTTCCCTTGGCAGACTCACCGCAGGGTACTTGAACTCGTACCACAGCTGTCCGTACTCTCCTGGCTCAAACACAAATCGTCCCAGAAATTCCATATCCTGTTTAAATGTGTAAAAAAAAAATTATATATAGCCTATGCATCAACAGCACACGCTGAGCATGAAGTGATTGATCTTAGAAGTCAGCAGGCTGCAAACTATTTTAATGCCAATTTAAAAACAATTTGTCTCAATTTACATGTTACAGTGTGACAACAGCCACAGCATAGAGACATATCTAATTTTAAACATTTCCCGCAATATTTAATACTAACATGAGTAGTACAGGCAATGAACCACTTCACAGGCAGACTGATCATACTAATATGGCTTATGCTGCCTATTTCTTTCGTACCTGGTTGGTGCATCAATTCATGAAATGGAAAAAAAGAGATAAGGCCCAACAAACATAGGCTAGGCCTACAGCAAAAACGAAACTGAGCTCGGGCCTGAAACGTGCCTGGCCCTAGGCCTCAATAAATAAGATATCAATATCACAATATTTCATAAAGGCCTCCAGGGACTTTTAGAAGTTCCGGTCTGTAAGTTACAAAGCTACAACTGTAATAAAAATGATAAAACATGATGAAATGTTATCCTGTTTGGTTCATTGACCATGCAAGACCAGCGCGGCGCAAGCCCCGCTGCGCTGGCGCGTCACGTACCTTGCTGGTGTCCACAACGCCTTCCACGTATTTTCCGTCGGTCACGGTCGGGAAGATCGCCAGCAGCAAAGCTGCGACCAAAACACCGGTGAAACTCATGCTGATAAACAGCAGGAGACTGTTCTGTCCACTGCGGTGTTTATTTTCCAAAGAAATATCAAATAAGCGGTTAGAAATCGACAGAAATCGGCAAGAAATCTTTTTGGCGGCTGCAGTGCTCACGTTCCAGTTACGGTTTGTTTGTTTCATATGCAAATTGCCCTGGAAACTTTAATATGAATATTCATTTCCCGCGGGCGCCCTCCATTGTTTATAGCGCCCTCTTTTTATTGTTACGTCGATTAATAAGGTCAATCGAGAACAAAGCAGGCGTGGAAGTGGGTGCGGCCGGCGCCGCGCGCGTCAACAAGGCGGGCCTCGTGCGCGCGTATTGCTTTTCCCGAATGAACTCACACGCACTTCTTTTTGGGCATGTGCTGTTGGAATACCAAATTATGTCCTTGTCCATGCTTGGAAACATGCATACATGTACGTGCTTCTGTCCTGTTCTGGTCGTAATAATGCAAAACCTTTTTTTTCTTCTCGAAAAGTCTTTTCAACAATAAAAGGAGTTTATGTTGCGTACGTTCACAAAACACTTCAGAAAATTGAAACAATAACCCATCATCTTCATTTTGTGTGAATTCACATTAATTTTTATTTGAACTGTACAAAGAACATACATTAAAGGTTATATACAAAATAATGGTTCATTAACTGATCAAATTTAGTTGTCTCGTTTATATGACAGTAGCTCCAGGAAAATAATGTTTTTGTATGGTGAATTTCAGAATAACCATCTATTAGTAATTGGATTAAAGTCTGTACGACCCATAAAATTGGTTTACTCACGCCAACCTACCAAGTTGCAAATAAGGAATTAAACAGTCTCGGGGATGTGGGGTCAAACTTTAGTAGTGAAAGTACATGAGTAAGTGTACTTCGGTCGCTTTTATCACAGGTTAATCATTTTTTGTTGGTTTATTATTGTGGCGTACATTTGTGCTCCAAAGAGTGGGCATTTCAAGTAGAGTCCGTCATTAGCCAGGGACACTTTCAGTAACATGAAATGGTTGAGAATACATGTATTGCCATTTCCCCTGGATGATATGCCAGTCCATCACAGGCGACTCCCCAGCTAATGCTGATAACCATGACACTCCTGCAGAGAGGCAAGTTAGGGTAAAGTACCTTGCTCAAGGACACAGTATCTGGCCAGCCCGAGCAGCTGGACTTGAACCCCTTTACCTTTTTCTCTATACAACCAATGAGCAAAAATCCCCTGCGCATACATCGGTAAGGTCAAGCAAACAATAAATCTTGCTCCAGATGTGTCACAGAAATTTGGTACAGTACTAAACAGAATAAAGTTCCACACACCAGCTGGGACTTGATCTTTGATTGCCAAGTGTCACAGTTAGTAGAACCTCAGAAATATTTCCGAAATTACGGTACACCTTGGAACTTAGGATAAACATTTTGGCGGCAGTGCTACGAATATAGCAATTCTTCATTATTTCCTATAGAAGTCTTTAGACAGAAACTTTCGCCCTTATCTGATATTCCCCTGAAAAGGACCTTTTCAGTGGCATTTCTTGGCACAGCATTTTTATTCAGTGCTGTCCAGAATTTCTCTTGCACCATCCAAACTACAAAATCTTATGGTGACAGTTATGTCCAATGAACCGATCTATGTCTTCCTCCTGGTGATGTGATCGTAGATGACAACTTGAGTGTACTGTGGGCAGCTGAGGGGTGTCCGAGTGGAATTGTCCCCTGGAGTTGAAGCCTAGATAGGTTTGAAAGAAAAAAAAAATCAAAATTATCAAAATCACATCTCAATATTAGAAACAATTGTGGCACACCACTGCAAAACCATACTGAAAATTCATAAATTATCATCTGGGCAAGATGATACCAAAATAAACCGGGACCATCCACATTCGACAATTTTCAATAGCCGTACCAAAGCTGTCTTACATGCAAACTCTGTCCTTCAAGATGACTTTGAAGTCTGAAAACTAATAGTTGGGATAAGAGTAGTGTCCACTGTCAATGCTACCCACTTCGGGCCTGGTTTTGAAATGTTGGGTCATATTTTATTTTATCTCATTGTATCTTATTACACTTTATACTGACAAAATATTATGAATAAATTTAGGTGGAATGAAAAAATAAGCAGTACAACATCTCACAGGTAGGTCCAACAGGCAGAAGGTATGCTCATTCTAATAAAGTATACTCGGCATTCAAATGCCTGTTTGCATGCCTTTCTCAGTGACATATGAACTCACCTTAGGGTCGACAGTCAGTATCTTCCGATCTCTCTTGTTCTTGAAGAGTAAACCGGAGGCATTCTCGGCAATGACCTGGTAGTTTGGCGTGGGGTTGGAAGTAGAGGTTTGGGTTTCCCAATTGTAGAAGCTGTTGTAACACCAAAAAAAAGGGCATCGTTCAGACTTCAATTACACAAAAATTCAAAAGTTGTCCCAGAGAACTGCTTAACTACTTGGCTCAATTTTTCCAACAAAATGGACTGCTGACATGTGTTCTGAAATTCTTTCAATATCAAAAGACAAAGGACAGGAGCATACTGCCCAAAATCATGTGTCCGCTAGTTCTTTTCAGAACTTTAGCCACTCGCTAAAGAGATTTTATGTGGCACTACCACAAACCTTTATTAGGCTACAATGTCTACCATGTAAAGCTTAATTAAATCATATCCAAACAGATTTTTTTTTTTTTACCTAAGGTCGGACGGTCTGGGCAGCAGCCTCTTGCGGCCGGAGAAGTAAGGCTCGAAGTCCTCCGTCTTGAGCCGGTGGGCGTAGTCGATGTAGCCGGAGATCTCCTGGCCCCGGGCGTTCTTGTCCCGGATGAAGATGATGGAGGTCATCTTGCCACTGCGGTTGGCCTCTTCCCGCTGAGCCAGTGCCTTCAGGAAGGGGTTGTTCAGCTCTTTCCCTGAACTTGCCAGTGCTCTGCAGAGGAAGAAGGGGTTTCGGACATGAAAACAGGGGGTCTTGATACTCTATGTACATTTGTCACCACATCCAACAAAACAAGTCACAATTTGCATGGGCAACTTTTGAGTTACTGGTAGACACCTTCAAAAGAATCTTGAACAACATCAATCGGCAGGAATCCTTAATGCTTTTTCACCAACAAAACTGCCCATTGTCACTATGATGACAAATCTGAGTGATACATCAAAATGAGATTTCAGCTTGTCCCTTTTAAGTTTTCATTTAATGCAAACTTAAATAAAATTACTGAAACATGGCCTTAAGACTCATTTTGTGGGAGCAAGTCACATTTGCGAAATATTAACAAAACAAGGGCAGCAAAAAGGGACACTTAGCCTATGTGCAGTTTATCTTTAATGGGCAGAGTGCATCCATAAGAAGTATTTAATTGATACGGTCATTTTGACTGACATGAATATGCATTAGTCCTGTGAAATCAATGTTTCCAAAATTTAAATCATGTTCTGAATTTGCTCATCAAAGACATTTTTTAAATCAGTCACTCACTTTTGTTGGCTTCTCTTGGACAGTCTGCTGGCCTCTGCTGCCTGTTTTCTGGCCTCAAATTCCTCTCTCTTCAACACTTCACCACTGCCCCGGTAACCTAACTCAACAAGTTGTCTTGCAAGTTCCTCATCCTGTGAAATATCCAACAAGAAGCAATTCGATAGTTTATCAAGCATGTTACTGTACTATCAGTCCTGTCACTGTTAGTAATTTGTTGATTACACTGTTACCCCACTGTTACTGTTTGATTAATGAAAGTTTGTTTTTTTAGACACCACTCTGATTAGCTTGGAATATTTTTCTGCAGCTGTGGTGTAGCTTTGAGCCTGCTACATTAGCCTAGTGCTAATGTAGCTTGTGCAAGAACACTCATACGTAGGGTGGTTACAAAATAAGAACCAAAAAAAAAAAAAAAAAGACTTGCATGCTTTCGGCTCAGCTTATTTCCACAAAGAAATCAAGCACTGCACTGCAGTCAACTAAGAAGACCAAGACAGGAAGGCAGTAGTAGCCAGAGCACAGGGGACAGTCAACAAGGCCAGTGGCCAGCTGGCAGATTCCAAAATCACTCGGACTCCCACAGTCCCGACAGGCTGTACACATTTCTATCCTCAAACTTCAAAAGAACTGAACAAAATCTAAATCACCTCGAGGTACAACAGATCCAACGACGTAATTTGTGAGTCGAGAAATTCTTCATATGTGTTAAATTCAGTGACAATATTGTCACTGCCAGATGTGACTTCCTCTTCCATGACGAAAACTGCGGTGGGACTTTGTGTAAGCCGGTACTTTTGCCAGCAAGGAATAACCAAATAAAGCGGTCCGCACACTGCACGCTAGACAACCACCACAACATTGCAAAATAAACTTTGACCCCGATAGTCCTTAGCAACCGCGAGTCAACACATTGGTCTGTCTCCTGACCAGAGGGAACGCTATATTGTGTAGCATTTCGTTCAGCCATCAGACTCCAGTATCAAATGCATAGCAACGTGGATTTACCATAGCGCCCTCATCGATCAATTAAGCGGCATCAATTTGTACGGTACGCGGTACGGAGAGACAGCGTTGCCGAATTAAAAACTTTGTTGATGCGGGGTTTGGACTTGGAGAAATTTTCGAATTGTTACAAACGACGTAAGTAAACGTAAAGTATAAATGTGTTAGCCTGACGTTTTGTTTAGTATACCTACCGTTCTATTATGTTCATTCAATCGAGTTGATTTATAGGCTAGCTGACAGTCTAACTAAACGTTAGACAGGAACTAAAGTCTGAACAACTCCGTTAGTCTTGTGCGAACCTATGATTGATTGATGAAGGCTACTGTACCGAGTACTGTCACTATAGCATGACTAGTACTAGTACTAGGCCTACTGCTCAATAGCAAGTAGGCCGTTGCCGCCTTTTCATTTTTATTCACTTGTTAAGTTCCAGAGTCTTATTCCTTTACCTTGCATTTAATAGGCTTGCTTGTCTAGTTTAATAACTTTTGTAACTCACCCAATGTTAATCGATACAATTCACAAAGGTGATGTTTGAACTCGCACAAACGACGTTCAAACTCACAAACAGGACGGTCAAACATGCACACACGGTTTGGAGTCAACACGACGTTCAAACATGCACTGACGGTTTCGAGTCAACTCAGACCCAAACCAACTCGGACCCATGCCATCTTGGACCCAATACCAACTCAGACTCGCGCCAACTCGGACCCGCTCCGAGTCAACATTCAGTTTGTGCGTGATTAATTATCAGCGTGTTCTAAATGACACTTTTTGCCTCTGTTTTTTTCAACCTTTCATTATCTTATTCAACTTAAGAAAATCTTAAGTTTAAGATTTTATTTGTCCATATCCTACTTAAGTCAACGGATGCCGAATGTACTTGCCACCTTTTGTGAGTCAGTGCCATGCCACGTGTGTGGATTAAATCCCTGTGCATTGGTACATGCAGCGCCGTGTATAGTTCGAATGATTGACAGATCCTATAGCTTTTTAGGAAACTTTCAGACATTAACCATACCAACAAATGTCAGAGGTAATTAGAGCACTGTCTTCTGATGCCTGATAGGCAATGAAGTTTGATTTCCACTGAAATGTGAAAATGCTTTACTGAAATCAGACATTAGATTGATTATAAATGGTATGGTACAGTATAAGAAACAGGAAGTGAATGATTACAGTTTGATGAAAGTTTTACATGTAAATGATTATCTAGTGTATTGCTGAAAAGAATTGAAGTTGGCAGAAATCGTCTTGGTTGCAAACCGGAACATCTATAGAAGGAAGCATATTTTGGGATCCATGCCGAAAGCCTCGCTGCTGGGGCTGTCGGGCTTTGCGCATTTCATTAATTATCACAAAGTTGCAGAAATAGTGTAAGGCTCGGTGGGTCTAAGTTGGTTGTTGGTCCGAATTGGTTTCAGGTCTGAGTTGGCATGGGTCAGAGTTGGTTTTGGTCCGAGTTGACCTGATCCCACACACACCATGTTGGAACTTACGTTTTCCTGTCCGCCTTAGACCACCATATGAAATAACCATCTTTTCATGCTTGTCTGTGACTTAATTTGCATTTGTTTTTCTCTCCCTCAGCCCGTGACTGATGACTTGAATTCTTGGGATAGCTGCATAAATACATGATCTACCCATCCATCCACATTGCCAAAAATCTTCACTGAAGTTGCACTGAAGAGTGTTAGCTAAACCTGGCACGTGAAAACCCTTGTAAGTGCTAAACTGGCATGAGAACTATGTCGAGCGGCAAGCTAGCCATGCCCTTTGACGCTGGTCAGAAAGTGAAGTCACGCTACGAGACCCTGGCCTCCTTTAACAGCGATGAAGGGGAGGAGGCCAAGGAATACGCCGCCTTCCTCAGGTAAATGTCCTAGAAATCTCGACCACTTGTTGTTTGCAAATGTGTAGACCCACAAATATTGTTGGACCGTTTCCTTAGACCTGTGTAAACAGTTTCTGGCGATTTCTTATGGTAGTAATGGGTTTAGGCGTCACCTGCTCTTGCACCACTTGTTAGTTTTGTACATGATTGGCAAGTCTGACTAGTCTTTGGAAACCACGGCCAGTCATCCTAGGAAATACTGCCCAGTGGCTTTGCCATAGAGTGTAGAAAAGACAATGGACGATACAGCAAGCAATTTCACACTATTTTTGTACGAGTGACTCTCAAGAATTATTCTTTGTTGTGTCCCACTAAGTTATCAATCGTGGTTGTCATATCTTGTTATTTTAAAAAGTCCAGATTTTAGGCAAAAATAATAAACACACCTTGAGTTGTATTGTCATAAGATGTTACTGCCCACAAATGGTTAATACGTGTATGAACAAATTAAACGTTATGGCAACAGGACTTGGATCCCAGACATGAGGACGAGCATTACGGTGCTTTATTCCAGAACTGCTCTCACGATGGCTAAGATGGCCACTTGTCTATTGTATCAGCACGCAAGCAGCCAACAGCCAGCCTTCTTCGGTATGATTGTTTTTTTGCAATGATTTCGTTTAAATTTCCCCAACTCTGACGGATTTTCTCGGCAGGGAGCAGGAGAGGAAGTGCGGCCCTGAGGGCTTCTTGGACTCCAAGAAGTACACCCACTCCTTCCAGGTCCGTGGGAAGGTCTTGGAGACCAAGAGCAACAAGCCCAAGAAGCCTGACGACGAAGAGCAGCCCAAGCCAACTCAGGTAACCGCATGCGGCAAGAGCATCTCTGGTTTTCAAGCCACGAGGCCGGTTTTGCAACATTTAAGATCCATTTTCATCTCGAGATTTTACTTGCTCCTGTGTGCCAAGATGTACTCTGTATCGGGGAGATGTCAATTTTAATAACACCTCTTGCCTTGACACCGGTTTGCATTTGCAAACACCGCGTGCTCGGTGCTTGTCCAAGAGCTGAAAAATTCACAAGCTTACTCAGGTGGGACTCGAACCCGTGACCTCCCGCTTACTAGTGCAGACGTCTTGATAACCACTCGACCACTGAGCTTGCTCCTGTACTTGTATCAGAGTTCTGAAGATGAAATTCTGTGATTTGGTTTATCACTTGTAACCTGGAAGACAAGACGATAATGAGTGTAATGCTATGGAGTACGTGTATCTAGTGGGATCTTGCAATTAACGTATGTGCCCCAGTGAAAAATTGGGTATGTTGCATTTTTTTGCATACTGTTGTCAAACAAATCCAAAATTATTGTAAGCATAAATATCAGCTTTTATGCCTCCAAATGATGATGTTTTTCTTATGACCTGTGTTTTTCGGATAGGTGGGATTGTTAGGAGTTAGCACCAGCACTGGCAGGAAACCAGGTCAGGAGAGATCAAAAATGGACACAGTGGTGGATCTGCTAAACAGAGTAGAAAAGGACAAAGAGGACTACGAAAAACGCATGAAAATCATTGAGGTAAGGACGGGCTGTATTTTACAGGGGAACCACTGAATTTCTTTGGGTGGTTGTTTTCAAACCAACACCTGTCGCCCATTTCTCAGTGTTGTCCCAATCAAGTTTGGTTTGAAGAAAATTCTTCTAATGCTACTGTAGAGTGATGCTGTTGTCACCATATTACAACAGTTTATGACGCTGTTGCAGAAGTGAAGAACTCAAAGAAACTATAAAACTCCTCGTTATTGGTTAGGCTCAAGCTTGATCAGCATCGCAGTCCCCTGCAAAGTTGAAAAACACTACCTCTTGCACGGTAGTCTTAAATATAAGATTAAACTTTTTTTATCCGGGGAGAGGGGGGATAATATGCACTCCTTTCAATCTTCTCTGGACTTCTACCGACCCAGGACCACATGTGGCAACACAAGCAAGAGGAGAGGGAGCTGAAGAGATCTGAGGGGGACATCATCAAGAGCCAGCACATGCTCCGCAGGACCATGAAGGATTTTGAGCTCGGTAAGGGCCCGTTTCACCATCTCAGCTTTCCCGGGCTTGTTTTGCAAGCCCACTGTGTACCTGAGAACAAAATATGTCCGCACGAAGGAGCTTTTGCACACCTTGTGTGGACTAAGCCGGGTCCACACAAGGCTTTTACCTCTCTGAGGAACAGGTTTAGGGGCATTTTAGGGGTCAGAGTTATCTTGTGAAAAATTACGAGGAGTGGTCGTGGAAACTATCAACAAACATCTGACTTAAAAGAGAATTTAATGTTTCAAACATAGATATTTTCTTTACTCAAAAGCAAAGAAATGTCCACACGAGGTGCGTAACGTAAGCATATCATGCTTTCAAATCACAGAAATTTTCACCAAGCAGTTGTCTGTAAACAAATATTTCACTGTAATACGAAAGGGCAAACCATTTGTTCACGGATCACGGAAAAACTTGGTGATTTCAGACAGAAAAAAAAACAAATTCTGTGAATATTTCTCGTCTTTTGTTTACCTGATTGCAGCCATAAATCGTAAGAAGCAAGCAGAAGCCAAGAAGATACTGGAGAACAAACAGAAAGAGTTCCTCATCACAAACGACCACATCCACAAGAAGGAGAATGTACGTCTCAGTCTTTCTTTTTTGTCAATCTGAAGGAACAACAGATTAGAATCGAATTGTGCACTTAGCCCTTACCCCCTAGGGTGTAAGTAAAATCATATTGAAATTGGAGGATTTGGGGCTGTTAGGGCTTTTATGCCCTTGTAAGGTACATTTATTTTACCTTTGAGCTTCTAAAGAAATGTTAACAAACCGATTGCTTTGAGTTTTGACCTCTTTTCATTTTTTTTTGTGGTTTTTCATCCACAGCTTACCAAGGACAGAATTGAGAAGGCCATAAACAAAGATCAACAGATCAAGGATGAAGACCGAAAATCATTTCTTACAATGTAAGACAATCAACAAGGTCCTCATGTATGCTGTGTCGTCTCAGAGACAAGCTCAACATGCTTAGTATTCCTCAAGTGTGTAGAACTTTTTAACTTGGATAGATCTGGCTAATCCTGTAATTATATTTTCATTAACCACTTGCAAAGTGTATTAGCTTGGCTCAAATGACAAGATGCAACACAGACCAAATTAATGAAATGTGTTGTTGTGAGCTTTGTTCTGTTCCGTTGTTTCCAAACAAAAGTGGAGACCTGGAGAGGAAGTACCGAGCCAAGATTGCCGAGATCGAGCTGCGGCGGGCCGAGGTGCAGAAGCTGAGCGAGGAGTTCACCGACCGCATGAAGACCAAGGAGGAGGAGACCTTTGCCCTGAACAAGGAACTGGCGGAGATTGCCCTGACCATCAACATGGAGGCCCAGAAGCAGCGCAAGACGGCCGTCGACACCAGCAAGTCAGTTGGAAGGGGCCCGGTGCACGTCCCAATGGCTTGGCTGCGGCTCGAATTAACACTTGCGTCTGTGGAAACGGCTCACCGGCCACTGTGGCCATCCTCCATAGACTTGTGTGTTATTTCTCAGCCGCTGCCAAGAAATTTGGGCAAGACCTTTCGTTGCCTGTGCCTTTGTCATTCCCGTGTCATGGATTCACCTAATTTATCACTGTCCCCCCCACAACTTTAGATTTTTTTGGTGCAATAAGGAGCTGTGTTTTGTCAGAGGAAATGGAACTGTACACGATTGACCCAAAGATGGAATGAGATTCATTTTAATTTGGACGTTACCATACCATGAGGGACTAAGTCTCTTCTAAGCAGTTCCGAAACAACTTATTAAATGGCTAAGCACGAATTGATAAAAGGGTTTGATTGGGCACTTAAGATGTATATTACATAAGGATTTCATAAGAGACTAAATCTCTTATACCTCCATACCAGGAGGTACAATGGTCCTATATCAAAGTGTGACGTCATTTTAAACCAGGAAGTGTCGTGCAAATGAATGGAGCATGTGCGCTTGTGGGTCCATGCACTGGTTCTCGCGCTAATGCCTTTTACCCACATAATATGCGCGTGACATATTCACCTCGGTATTCTATAAGAGACTAGGTCTCTTACAGGAGTTCAGGGACAGAGACATGGAGATGAAGCCACGATTCAGCAACTCCTTCCTTCCCCCAACAGAGCAGACAGTCCAATGATGTTCAAGACCTGGCTCAGTTTAGTTGACAGTTTGAAACTGACCTTTAAATGGATGAAATGATCGTTAGCTTCTCCATTTATATACTTAAGCCCGTTAATAAGGAGATAAATTGAAATTAAGCATGTAACTTTGAGGTGTACCTCCAGGTTTTAGCAGATTTTTAGGATATTCAGGGTGGAACCTCACGTTACTGCCTGTTAATTGCATTCTCCCTGAGCCCGTCGGTCGATACAAATATCATTCCTGCAGGGAGGAAGCAGTTGACAGTTTAAAGTATTCCCTTTGGTTATGAAACAAGACTTATTCAAGAGTCAAAGACTGAGGTCAGCTTTTTTTTCCTTTCACCGTGGTTGGGGTACTCGATGATGTTGCCCGTTTTGATTTTCGTCTTCAAACTTGTTTGTCCATTTTCAGAGACAGTAAGACGGAATCCAAGGAAAAGATCAAGACAGACAATGAGATGGAGACACACTTTGACACCAAGCTGAGGTAAGTAACAGGCTCAGCCTATCTTTTGTCAGATTCCATTATTTATTGATTTTGAAAACAGCAACTTGCAGTATTTGTTTAGTTAATTGTGGTTACTTCAGAATTTAACTGAAATGAAAGAGATTCAGGACTGGGGAGAGGAATTGTCATGACATCCTATTCTATTTCTCTTCATGCCGTTTCTAGGAGGAACGTGAGTAAGGCTGGTCAGTTTGAGAACAACAAGAGACGGTTGAGTCTGGACTTGGCACAGTTCAGCGTCAACATGCTGGAAAAGAACAGAGATGGTAAAGACCAACTTAACCCACTCTTCAGTCCACGGCAGAGGCAGAGACAAGGACCCTTGTTTTTGGCCAGCAATGTCTGATGTCTCGATTCAAGTTTTTACAGGAGTGTTTCCGGAAACATTTTGTACATGAGAGTGAAGCCAAGTGATTTGAATTCAAAGCCCAAGACTGGACTGGTACCCGTCCAACTTTTTGTAAAGGTTGACCATTCATTAGTCTGGTGGCATGACTGTGCAGCGAATGTAAGGAAGCAGAGATGAGGCACGAGACGTCTCTTTGATACAGTTGATTGACTTAAGGGGTATTGACCTTATGTCAGGCACCAGTCTTTATTCTGGTGTTACACGCCTCCACTGTCTCAAATTTTGAAACTCTTCAAATCCCAAATGTTGGGCCTAGGGTATTACCCCTGTCTACTTGTATAACTGAACATTGTTTACTTGTTTATTTGTCTGTTACCATCAGGTGGACGGCAGTTGCTAGACACCAGAAACCGTCTGCAAGAGAACAGCACCACACAGAGGAAGCTACAGGAGGCCGCCCTTACCGCCAAGCTGGATCACACCAACAAGAAGATTGAACAGAAGCTACGGGTATTTGGAAGCATTGCAGATGATATTCCACCTCATGCATATTCATGAATCACTGAATAGTAATCTCAGTGGTAGCCCAATAAGGGAAGTTTAAAAGCTACCCTCTCTTGTGCAGTTCCATTTGAACTAACTCCAAGCTCAGCCTCACTTATGAGGTTTGAAAAAAAAGTATTCAAAGTATTACTAGTCTGGTCTCCAGAGGGCAGGCCTTCTTAATGTTGTATTTGAGCAATCAGTTATCGTAATTATTTGCTTCAATCAGCCTGCAAAATGACATGGATAGGTGCTCTTGCCCGAGATGCAAAACTTTCCAAAGAGGCTCAAAAACCTTGAAAACTTGGCCAATCATTTATGAAATTTATATGAAAGGAGGTATGAGATTGAAATTTTTTTCCTATTTCTGAGTGTCTTTCTTCTAATTCCTATGTGACAAGTTTGCACCCTGCCCCAGTAATACTTGAAAAACTTTCTTAAATCAATTCTTGTAGTGGGCTTTGTGTATGATATTATTGCTGAATTTCAACAGAAAGTAGTTTGAACATAAAAAGCCTGCTTCAAGAATTGGCACGGCATGTTACGCATCGTCTCTTCACAGAGCCACGATCTTAAGAAGCAGCGTCGACTGCAGCACATCACCGCCCTCAAGAAGAAAGAACACGAGAAGGAGTTGAAGGACTGGGAGGAGAGGTTTAGCAAGAAGCAGTACGATGCCACGAGGAGAGAATACGAAGACACCCTCAAGCACGCCGTGGTAAGACAGACAGGCAGAAAAATGGTGGCATGGACGTGGCTCTGTTTATAATTTACACACTAACGCATTTGATGCACCTCTGAACACATCCTGTTTATCGTCTCTCTCTCTTTCACTCTTGTAGAGGACAGTCACCAAGCAGGAGGAGATCGAGCACGACCTGTCCACCCGGGTGCGCACCAGCGAGTACGCCCGCAAGCAGCGGGAGCAGCAGTGCAAACGCATGCAGCAGCAGCTGGCCGAGCTGCGGCGCAAGAACGACCAGCGCCTCAAGCAGCAGATGATCGAGTGCTACCAGAAGGAGAAGGAACTAGAGCAGAAACTGCTGCGGGAGCAGTCGGAGCTCTACAAGGTGGGGGGATGGGTCTCTCAGAGGGGGGGGTGCCGACACCACTGGGCTGAGCCACATATAGAAAAGAGTAGTGATCAAAGGTCTTGTAGGATGTGGTGTGTTGTGCGAATTTCGTTTCCAAACTGGTGGGTGATTTTACTGGGGGCTACTGTAATGGATCAGAGAATGTTTCTATATCTAGGTGGCATTACAGAGACCAGTTGACTATAAACCATTGGCTGCTTTGTGTGGATTTTTGGAACCAAAATGGATATGTGGTTGTGAGGACTTGTAATTGACTTGTGAGGACTTAGTTCAGGTTTGTGGGGACTTTCTGATGTGAAGACCTATAATGGGCTTAATGAGGACGTGATGGGCTTAAGATAGGTTTGTGAGGACTTGCTGGTTTGTCAGGACTTGTGATGGACTAGTGAGGACTTTTGATGGGCTTATGAAGACTTTTTAGGACTTTTGGTAGTCTAGACTGCAGCCTTAACCCTCCAGCGAAAAATTCTCACTGGACGAGATGCATCGTCACGAATATTTGATCTCTTTCTAATCATCAAAAAGCAATAACAGGTTAATCAGATTTTATGTTGCTTTTGGTTCCATTGCAGAGCCATGTGAATCGCGAGGAAGGGTACGTCTCCCTACAGCAACATCGCATGATGATGAAAGAAGACAGGATCATACTGAATGAAACGGCGAAGGTGAGCCTTAAACCCTCGATGCCCTGCTCAGCTCGTACATCCACTGCTCAGCCGCTCTGTGATATGGTCAGGCCAGTTGTCAGTCCATGGCATGTGCAGTGCCAGTGACCATGGGGGAGTACGATGACGGATATTTACACGACCACAGACCTTGCTCATACCCCGCAAGAAATTGAGATTGTGGGTTTGAATGAATTCCAACGCATTTCACCCAACCGGGAATTCTAGCGCTGATTGCCAGAAACCTTTACCCATGATAAAGTACTCATGTTTCGGACAAATTTCACATTCAGCTTTTCGGGTTGGACTCTAAATAATGGACCAGCATTTTTTTACTGATCAAGAGTTCCACAGTGTTCATGGTATTTAAGCCTGTGCTTAAGTGCATGGATCCCATGGCAATGTATTATGTCTTACATTCAAGCACAGTGTGTGCAAACTTTGCAGAATTTTTTAACTACCTCACCAACAAGACCTCCCCACTTTATTTTGTTGTATCCACATCTTTTAAATTTCGATCACTGCAGGAACACGAACGACTCGTGAGGATAGGCGAGAAGACGGATCTGCTCAACAGCTATCCTTGATGAGAAAACATGACTAGTCTTCTGTAATCATTTACCTTTTTCTACATGCTAAGTAATTTATGGTCTTCTTCAGCGAGTAACACGGATCGTCAGTACTGTCTTACAACCAAGATGGTCAGAGAGACTGAGCAGTATTTCTGCCGCTGATTGTTGAAAATCAGGCATTGTTCTTAACCAGGCAGTTGGGGAGGGCAAATTTGAATATCTTTCAAGCAAGAAATATTCTTTTCTTTTTTTCTTTTTTTCACTCTTAGCTGTGAGAAGTTGCTCCTATACCAGGGCATACAAGATGAGGGTAGCATCCAAACAAAAGCAAGGAACATCATTTTCTTTGAAACACAAAAGTTGCTGTCAACATTTGAAAGTTTCATTTCACTAGAAAATCTCAGGAAAGTGTCTGTCATTTTGAGAAGGGGCTATGTTCATGAGATTTGGCTGGGAAAATTCTCTTTCAGCGTGCACCATTAACTCAGCATTTCCAGAACACCTATAAAGATGATTTTTTTTTGTTTTGAAGTGCTTTTTTCCCAGTTAGCTGTTGGTTTATGCGTCATTGAGTGCTAAGTAATTGCTTCGTAGAAGGAACGGTCAAATGTAATAATTCACTCTGACCCACGTTGTTACCCATACACTTTCTGTACCATGGACATATGTACTACAGCCAACATGTGCCTTGTCACCATCTAAGGGGTTCTGTTTTGACGCCTAGGCGAGTAGATGTGCAAGTCGTTTTTTAGTTTTTTTTATTCTCTCTTTTTTTTCTGCTGAAGGAAAAGTTGTGGTGTTTCATGGTTCCTATACATGTATTGAGATATTTTCTACCAAAAAGGTGCTTAACATAGCTGTGCATGTGCTGCCCTAGAGTTGACATAATTCCAGAACTATCAGTCCATCAATCAGAGGAACTCTTCCAACCCCCTCCCCGGAAAAGGACCCTAAATGGTGGGAAATGGCTAGCTCTTTCCGTACGCTCTGACGTCTCATGACCATGAAAACTACCTGTAATATAAATATTATATGATGATTTTCTGTTTGCCTTTACACCGAGGTGTATTGTAATATTATTTGTACAGTGTTCTAGATAGTTAGAAATATCTTAATCTTGAAATATATTTTGTAAACTTAGCAAGTATGTGGTCCATATTCAAACCAAATATTTTTCAGTATTCTCCAGTGATTGGTTGTATGCATTTATGTACTGAGTAATTTCTCCAGAAACTGGTTTTAAGGGCATGTACAGTGCACATTGACATGATTTTTTCTGTTTTAATCAATGCCATCGTTTCACACCGGCACACAGCATTAGTTTACTTTGACCAGAATGTTGTCCACATGTATCATTCTTATTATTTACATGCAGGGGTGCGCGGTTTGTTTGTAAAAAATCTCCGTCCCGCTGCTGTCCAGTGCAACCCAAAATTACACGTCTGTTGTCGTAGTAGTGCTCTAAATTATTTTTGAAAGTCTTTACCTGCCTCTTTCAACCATTAACAACCTACCAACCATTTCTTTGACTTTTTATTTTGGTTCCTTGTTGTCAATTTTGGGGATGATTTATGACATAAGAACTACTGTCTCTCTGTTAACCTCATGCCTTCCATGTACAAAATTATGGTTTCTCGTAGATTGATCATGATTGAGTTTTGTATTCCACCACGTGTGTACCAAAGATCATATAGTGCCGCGTAGCGGCGCAAGAGGGGTAATTCGACCATAAAGGTGTTATCACCATAAGCGCCATTCGAGTGTGAACGTTCACGTGTACGTACGTGTGTGCGTGCCTGCGCGATACACATGAACACGTACATGAGCGCGGCGCTATACAATCTTTGGCATTCACTTCGGCAGTCTATACAGGCGCTTACGGTGCATTAACATGCACTGCGCAGTCGTAGTCCAACCAGAATGGCGCCCATGTGATAACAACGTTTTACGCATATTCATGGTGAAGTTTCCCATCTTGCGCCGCTAAGCGGCGCTATACGATCTTTGGTGAATACGTCGTTCACACAACGATGTGTGTAAAAGATATTACGGCGAGAACCAGCGCGTGAACCAACACGCGCGCGTTCTGCATTCGTTTGCATTGCACTTTCTGGTTCACACTAATTACGTCACACTTCGATACTCTATTCCGTTCGTGACTTTGTCACAAAGGCAGACTCGCCACGATTTGCAGGCTCTCATTGGACAACCCCTGAAGTTGTGCGTTAACTTCCTGTTCTATGGTTCCAGATAAACGGTGATCAATGCGTGTAACCCTATGTGCAGTGCACGTGTGCACTGGGTGTGGTTTAAACTGAAGTGACGTCACACTTACGAGCCGGATAGACTACCGAAGTGTGACATCATTTAGAACCAGTAGATAACGTACAAACGAATGGAGTACGTGCGTGCATTGGTTCACGCGCGGGTAGGGTATTATTGGGTGCGTTCGATTAGATTGCTAATGATTTTTACACACATAAGTGTGCGCGTGACGTTTTCACTTCAGTACTCGTACCGAAGTGTGACGTCACTGTGAACCAGAAAGTGTCGTACAAACGAATGGAGTACGCGCGCGTGTTGGTTCACGCGCTGGTTCTAGCGCTAATGCCTTTTACACATATTGTGCGTGTGACGTATTCACTTCGGCACTCTGTAACAGTTGTCTCTGTATCATATGACAATTGAGGCAATACTTGGTGTCTATCCTTTCGGAAAAAAAATCAGTGGATTTCCCCGTTATAGGAGATGAATGTTAAAAGAAGTGAAGATAAAGAAAGTGTGTGATTTTATCTCCTACAGAAATTTATAAGGTATGAAGTCATTTGTATTTTTGTCTGTTTTGTTTATTTTGTGTGTGTGTGTGTGTGTCTTTTTGAATCCGGAAGTAGGAGGCCTACCTCCTACCTCCTCTCAAAATGGTCACGCTAATGAGTAGACGCAGTTGCAGGGGTGGGATATATGGAGACGAACGCACGCACTATTTCGATTTTACCCCAGTTCATGCCACGCCCCCGTGTTCAATATTTGGAACAAGGTTTACATGCAACTGCCTCCAATTATTAATTAGTAAGTTTGAACCGAAACTGAAGGGTTCCCCCTCAGAAAATCCCGCTCCCTAGGTTCCAAAGTTACCCTTGAAAGAGGGCCCGGATAACATAACGCACTCGTCTTGTTATTCTCACTTTCCCTGTCAAAAAAGTTGTCTACTGGGGCTGAATGTTTCGTCGTCATCCTCGTTTTTCCCCAGGGGAAAATTCAACGTTGGGGAATACAGTGTAATCGTACTAATCCCATTATGCTTTGGAACTAAACACGGGGAACTCTCCGCTTGGTTTGGTGCACGTCTGCATGTGATCTAGCTCGTGGGTTGACTATCAAGGAAGCGTCGAGTGCACCTGTATTTTGGACCTTGTAGTTTATGGTCACACTCTCTTGTTCTTTTCGATATGTTTGCACTGTTGCTAAATATAACCCCACCGGTTATGAATAGGATCTTTCCTCGCTGTTGTTTACCGAAGTTGAACTTGTCTGAATCAACTTCTTTGGGAATATTTCCACGCTTATGCGGTAAAGTCTTCGACTGGTTTACGAAGAATAAATGCAGCTTTGGTTGTCCTGGCAGTAAACACTTGGTTCGAGTATTCAAGGAATTTCAAACTGTGGAGAATGGCACGAAACATCGTTTTGATCACCGGCTGTTCTTCTGGGATTGGACTAGCGACAGCCGTGCGTTTGGCCAAGGATCCCGAACACAGATACAAGGTTGGTGGAGAACCTTTCTACTGATTCCTGCGACATAGGAAGGCCTGTGTCTTTTCTATTTTCTCGGGCTTCGGGTTTGCTTGCACTGATCCCATGTTAGGAAAGCGCGCATCTGCAAACTTGACTCGTGTCCGAGCCTGCTGAATCCAGCACTGGGCCTCTTAACCAAATCCAGTAACAGGTTACACGTACCGTACATGCATCCTAACTACCGGATTATTTCGAACATTTATTGACATACATGTATACGACACTTATTGTCCCTTTTTCCATTTTGGAGATGGATCATCCCGGCCCTAACTAAAGCCCCCCCCCCCCGTTTCAGCATTTCTAAGACATTACAGGCTGGGCCCCTCTGCTTCATCGAGAGCGCAAACCGAAGAGGAATAGAAATGCCTTTTGGATATTACCATCTTCTTTTAAAAAAGGTTTGTTCCTTGACCTACAAACCTGTGAGATGGAGGAGTTTGGTCATTTGACCTGGTAATTTTCCAGCATTTTTTAAAAGTTAAATCACAGGCATAATAATGCATTTATTTAATTTTATTTAATCCATCTATGCTCAGCACAACAAATTGGGTCCATTGGAGATCTTGGACTATAGTTTGTTTGTTTTTTTTAACAAACACTTCATTATTTTCCCCTGGCTATTTTTATCGAGTCTTACACGATAGCACCGAATGGCGGAAGCAATAACAGGTAAGGCCGGTTTGCAATGCAATATGAGCGGTGCATTTGTTTTGCGAAATCAAATGATCAAAGTTCGTGAACTCATTTGATAAAACCGACCAACGCAAGTTTTGGGTTGGAGGGGTTCTGCTGGTTTGGGTCAAGACAGGTCCAAATAGGTTGATCTGATGTTGATTAGGTTGGGCTGGAAAATAGAAGTTTACATTGATATACCAATTGATGTAAATAAAAAACGAGTGAGACCTTCCAAAGGATAGCAAGCACATTTCGTGACAGAGGGGTTCCCGCCAAATGCATTAAAGTAGCTGTTGGCTTAAAAGTAGCTGACGCTCTCAGCATATAGCTGGTGGTTCAAGAATGGCTGGTGGGCTGGCCTACACAAAAAGGTAGACACAACCCTAAGCCAAATTTCTACCACTCAGTGAAAAAAAAATGTTTTCTGGTCCATGTTTTCCTTCTGCTTTGCTTTCTTTTCTTGGTGTTGCACTAGAGAAATCCACTGGCTAAAGTTTTGATATAGATACAGAGAGAGAGTATTGTAAACAAACACTCTAACACAAAACAAGACAAAACAAAAACAACAAATGCTGGTCCCCGGACTCAGAATGACAGAGGTTGAAATTATTGGAACGAGTCTGACAATATTATGTAGCTCAGGACACTACTGAGAGATCCCCGATTCTTACTTTGAAGACGCACTGAATTTGTCCCTCCAGGTGTACGCGACAATGAGAAACCTTGGGAAGAAAGAGAGGTTAGAGACAGCAGGTGGGGACGCCCTGGACAACACGCTGTTCGTTCGACGGCTGGATGTCACTAAGGACGAAACCATTAAGGCTTTGGTGGAGGACATCGTGCGCGAGGACGGCAAGATTGATGTCCTGGGTAATGGTGCACTGAAAATGCATATAAAACTTATATAAGCGAGGTGGCAGAGTTGCCTCCTGGGCCCATAGTCTGGAATGTGTATAGGGATTGGACATGTTGGGGGGTACCCCTCGGTCTCATTTCTTGCTGGGTATATCCCCGCTCTAATAGGCCTATGCCTTTTATTTAAATATTATTTAGACGCATTATAACAGATCTGTTTTGCTGGGAAGTTCGCATTTCCGATCCGCGTCTTTCTTCTGTGCAGTGAATAATGCTGGTTCGTACGGTTGTGATGCCATCTTCCACCAGTCGTTGGAATGGTGTCAAGAGATGATGGATACCAACTTCTGGGGTGCTGTCCGCCTCACGCGCGCCGTACTTCCCACGATGCAAGAACATCGGTCTGGTAGGATCATCAACATCAGCAGCACATCTGGAATCAATGGTACGCATTGTGAAATATAAAATAGTTGGAACACCTCGTGCGAAGCGCAGTGAAAACACCCCCCTCCCCGTTCAATGTTGCGGTAACCTATTGGACCAAGATTCGGCCCAACTTACCCAGGGAGAAATAACATTGACAGGGGGCGAGGGGGAGGCATGTTCCAGTGAGATTTGTCCAGGGTTGTAGCCATAAACCAACCCACTCGAATCCAATTCAGCCCAATTCAACTAGCTTCAAGGCTGGTTCATACTTAACGCGAATGCGAAAGCGAAGCGAATTTGACGTCACGAAAAATTTGCTTCGAAATTTCGCTTGAGGTGAAATGTGTTAAACTATGACGAATTAACAATGCGAATATTTGATCTAACGTCACAAATATTCGTTTGTGTTCAAGTATGACCCTGCCTTAATAATTATAGGCCAACCTATACCTGTTGCACCCAACCCAACCCAAACCAAAACCCAATCCAATTCAATCTGAATCACGCCCAACTTCCAAATTGTCCATTGCAGCTCTCCCCTTCTTCGGCATTTACTCGGCTTCCAAGTTTGCTCTGGAGGGGTACTCTGAATCGATAGCACCGGTTCTGCGGGATGCATTCAACATAAGGTGAACATTCCTGCCACATACATGTATATATAGATATATATAGTATATATAGATTCCAAGTACATGTACATGTATGTTAGAAACAATAGCCATACGAGATAAAATTTGGGGGAGAAAATAGATTGATGAGTATAAATTTAATATTGCAATCTGACCAGCATGAATCACGTGAAAATTTGGGAAGCGACCGTTGTTTGTTGTTGTTTGCTTCTGTTTCGTTTCTGTTTGTGTTTGGATTTACACAAGGAGTAGACGCCGTAACAATGACGGATGTTTGTTGTAGAGTGACGAGATCGATTAAATCGACGGTACTGCGCGACCAGGTTGCGCTTTACTATAACGTGAACGGAAAGGGAATCTTTCCCATTGTGATTTCCCATAACAGATCTTTCTCAGACTCATCATAGTGGGTAATAACCGACAACAGACTGAGCACAGAAATCTACCAAATCCTGTACATTCAAATAAAGTGCGTCAACGAGAAGGCTCTGTATAATAATACGCTTGACTGGTTAAACACGTACGGGATTGGGGTAGATTTTTGAGCTCAATTTTTCACAAAGGAAAAGAGGTTGGCTGATGGCGTAGTTTATCAACAAATCGTGCAGTAAGTGGCAAGTTCTATCAAGGACCACCACAGTTAATAAATGGTTGGTTTGTGACGTACCAGCGCATGTGCAGTGAAGTTGAAGTGCTAACGACTCTAGTCGACAGTTGTCAGGTCGCTGGGCCGAAGGGGTGAAAGGAAGCCGAAGGAAGGACAAAATAGCAAAAGATTAAAGAGAAAATGGTCGCTTACTTGTGACATATTGTTTTTCCGGCATTTTTTTTATAACTGGTCCTCTCTGCACCGTGCTATTAAAAATGGTTTATCGCAACCAACGATGCAACCAACCTCGACAGGCTGGTCGCAAATAGTCGACTAGACTAGTCCAACCATCGTCGGCTAGCGTACGTTCAATCAGAGTTGGGGGGGGTAACTACAGTCCTTGATCGAACTTGCTTATGATTGAGCAATTGCGCAAAAACCGAGCGACGCACCCAAGAGCGATGTATATGGAATATCGTCATCGATTCGCAAGTATTTGCAACTTTGACAACAGTCAGATATTGGTCCCTCCCCCGCAGAGTCAGTTTGATCCAGCCCAGCGGCGTAGCCACCGACCTCATCGCCAACTTCTACAAAGTCTCGTTCGAAGAGCAGGCCAAGGACTTTGGCGATGTCCTGCGGCCCGTGTACGTGGACATGATGAACGGTTGGGCAGCCGAGTCGGCCAAGATCGGGCCGATGCAGACGGGGGAGGACCTGGCCCAGCTGATCCAGGAGGTCGTGGAGACAGAGAACCCGCACCTGAGATACCAGGCCAACGAGACCGTCAAGCAGCTCGCCGGCTGGAAGTGGACAGACCCCACGGGCGATAGTTACCTGTCGTCCCTGAAGTGAGAAGTACACTGTAGGCAGCGATGTATCATAAAGGAGCTGGGATTGGGGTGAAAAAAGGCCCATTCGAGACCCAGAAAGAATGCAAACAAGGACGCGAATTTGCTCTCTTAATTTCAAAGCCTCCGACTGTCACAGGAATGACACGGTTTTGAACGAGAACATTCAAATATTTAAGACTGAAATTATTTGAATGACAAATTTCTGGAGTTTAATCAACTTATTCTCAGTCTATCAGAATAAGAACAAAAATCGACTCGAACTCGTCTTTTCATTGATTTCAGTCGCAGGAAGTGGGTTTTTAAGAGTAAATGTTCACTTTTTGGAAATAAGAGTGCACATTCAACTTCTAATGGAACATACTAATATGGGGTGAATCCTGCCTATTCCCTTGACTATCGTTAAATGAGAATGAAGAAAATATACCAACTGTAAATTATTTATGTTAATTTTGGATTTTTGCCCTGCCCGACGTGTAATTTAACACTGTATGCTCAGTGTATGCCCCCGAAGGCTTGTGGGAAGACCCATCAGCGTACTCGGATGGGTTTTTTTCACAAACCTTCGGGGGCATACACTGAGCATACAGTGTTCAAATACACGTCGGGCAGGGCAAAACTCCAAAATTAATTTACATCTCCCCGGCGCAAATCCATCTTTGAAATTATTTATGCTTCTGAAAGACTATCTATGGACAACATGAATTTTAAGTAAGAACAACCAAAACAAACCAACAAACTCCTTGGGAATTTTAAGCTACACTGGGCAGGGTGGCAACTTCTTGAGTTGACAGAGACAAACACTGGGTTCTTATCGTGTGGTGGCGTGCTCCATGATTGGAGTTTACGGCATTTACGGTCGTTTAATTAATTGTTTTCTTACCACTTTTTATGATCAACGGTTGTAATAACTATGTTATTCTTGCAGTTCCTACGGGATGTGTTTTATCGTGATTGATGTTTTCTGGTGCAGTTTCAATAAAACAGTGCTGCCGTAAATGATTTGTGTTTTTGCGCACGTGTTGGACAGGAAAAGTTTCCAAAACTTGTCCGAGGAGAGGCAACGTTTTATTCTTGCCATGTGGAAAAAAATGAATGAAATATACTGTCAACAGAGGGCGCCTATCAGCCGGTCCACGCCACCAGATCAAGGGAACCTTTTCTCTTCCCACGCTCTCCCCATCCCTCAAAACCATTTCCCATCCTAGCACAACTTTTAAAGTACATGTAGTTTGTTTGGTCCTTTTAAAATGTCACGGGTGACTGGTCCACTTCCGCAGCACTGTTAAAGCGGCTTACTTAATCTACATAATCTCGCTCCTTTTTTGTGGGATGGTTCGAGAGAAAAGATCTGTTCATTTCACCCCATGTGCACTCAAGCATAAAGAACAGCAGGTTTTTCAAAAGGGCGCTTGTTACACAAACGAACGCTAGGGGGCCGACTGCGTTGTCTGATTAGTTAAGCGGTCCACCATTTAGGGCTAGGGCTCATTGCTGCATAGATCAATAGCAAAATCCAAAGTCGCAGTCACAAAATGCCCACTTACTTAGGACAACTTTTACGTACAGCCTAGCCTCATGCACTTTGCACGTACTGTAAGTAGTCACGCACGCACACGTTTGAGGCCTAGCCACGGAAACACAGCCGTCGACCGCTTCAGGATTCTACTCCTTAAGGAACTCTTCACGGTCACCGGGTGTTTCCCCGACGACTTTGGTCTTAAAAGCGTGCCAGTTGTCTCTGCAGATTCTCTGGATTGTCGGTGTGTACTTCCAGGGAACTGACTGATTGTGACTGTGGCGTTTGGTGTTAGGCAGTTGGGAAAAACATCCCAAGAAGTAACAAGACTTGTTCGGTCTGCCGTTGGTGGTCCGCTGGGTCTGAAGGGTTCAACGTGCCGTGAACAGTTCACCGCCGAACTGACCGGGGTCTTTGCCTCACTGCGTGCCACCTCGGATCCGAACGGGTCGGTGCCGGCTGTTTTCCAGCTTTAGTGCTGTGGTTTCTCGAGAGCTGTCAACATCCTGCTGCTCGGGTCGTCTGATGGTGGATTGAAACGAAAGCGTTCGTCTGTACCTCTTGTAACATCTGCAGGAAATGTGTGTCAGGCCTGTTGGAATGAATGCATGTTGAGTTGAACATCCAAAGTTTAGTCGGCCTCCGTCGTCAATCACTCTAGCCTAGGAAATACCATTCTTTTGCTTTGCTCGACCGTCATCATGGCCTAGTTTGCTCTCTCTTCTGAACGGGAGTTTCATACAAAAGTTGGAGCCCCCATTCTGCAAGGATGCGACTGTCTCCCCTGTAGAATTTGGGCAAAGCAACATCAAAGCAGCACCATAAACTGTACTGACTCAGTCAAGCAGTTTGTGGAAACTTTATATTGTCAATTTATCTTTCTGTGGTGCACAGTTTTTTTCAGCTGCATTGGGATCGGAAATAATAGTGAGAAAGTCTTCGTTGCTGGAGCAATTGGCATTGCCGCATCCATCACAGAGGATTATAATCACCAGCATGTGTTCGACCGTCATTTGGATGTGACAAGGGAGATTTCCTGATGACAATTCTGACTTGAAAATGACGAAGAGTAATGTGACAAGAACTTGCTACGCAAGTTGGATTCTCCTTGGTGCTTCCATATTGTTGTATGCAGCGAGGGTCCAAGGTATGTTCAAACTAGAAAAAAGATGTTTAGTGGTCATCAATTACTATTTTCCATATACAGACAACACTTTATGCCCCTGTGCCCAAACGTATGAGACTTGTCCGAAAAGTGTTTTCTAAGTAAATATTTTGGAATTTTCTCAGCTGAATTTCACTTTTTGGAATATGTTATCGCTTTCCGAGGGCTGTTCTAACATTTGGAGATATACCTAGTATTGTTTATTGGTTTATGGAACTCTTCCCTTCTGTAAATCATGGAAATGTACATACATGTATATAATTGTAATGTACGGCATTTTTGCGTGTGTGTTAAAATGTTTTGGAAAGTTGGCATACAAATTTTTTTTCTTGATAAATATTTTGTCTTACCAGCAAGAATCCTGTGTCCAGTCACAACGTATTTATAATCCAGCTAACCTTGTGTTTCCATTGTAAAATATTCTAGCTTTGGGAACAATCTTTTTTAGGGATAGTTTCTTTTGAAATTTCTTGATGATTACAAACTGGAAAATCATTCTTGCCAAAACTTGCCACATGTGAAACTTTTTCTGAAAAATTTCATATGGCAAGTAAATTTCTCGGGGAGTTTTTCTCAGCTCAGCAAAACTGGGTCTGTCTGGTATCCTTCCTTATCAGCAAGTGATGTACATGTACAGTGCTACTGGTAAGCACTGTATTTTGGGGTTGAGTTATCTGAAGGTGCATTCACTCTGCCAGACCAAGAAAAAAGGGTTGTGTGGCGTCTAGACCCATAAATAAAGGGACACCTAAGTGCCTTGTTTACTGGAGGTCTTGAACTTGAAGCTGGTTGATGAAGTTGGGCAGACTGCACTGGGCTCTGGCCCGGGAAAGGGAAGACTTACCTTTTCAAGTAGGTGCCGTTTATCTTGGGACGAGTGTCGATGCTTGCTCCAAGTGCCACCCAAGATTTATTCATGAAATCTGCGATTGTGAATGCTATCAGAATATAACTGGCGACTTGAGGTTGAAATTCTCTCCATCAAAGCCATTGTGTTTTTATACAAGGTTGAATTCTTGAAAGTTGGAGTTTTTGTTTTTTTTAAACACTCGAGGCACTCAGAACACCACAACTTATAAAAGAGGCCCAAATGTATGGAATTTGTACGTGTGTAGTTTTAGTTCCAATTACCTTGACTGGTTCTCAGCCTCATGCACAGGCATGTACTATGACTTAATGCTCAATAATTGCGCAATTTACCATTGACTGTGTTAAATTCACTGTGAAGTTCCGTTCTAGACTGCGATTTGAAATTTCTGAGCAGTTGAACATTTGAAAAATGTATGGTTGAAAACTTTGTGTGAAAATTTAATTTACTAATACAAAGAACATGAATATTGCTTCATGGCAAACTTTACAATCAGTTTGCAAAAGTATATATATTTTTTTGACAAACTGTCTTCAGTTAGCAGATATCAGCAGCAGTCTACTACTTGTCGGTTTTGTGATTCATGGAAAGCCAACCCTGGATTTTTACCTTTTTCAAGGGGTCTGGCGCTATCACTGTACAAGGCATTCCTGATTTTTTCCGGTGTGACCAGCTGGTAAGCAAGAGCGAAGTATGCATCACTGGGGTAGAATAATTTCCCACAACTCCACTGGTGCATGGCCGGGTCATGTAATTTTTTGGGGGTCACAATTCAAGCCAACTCTTTCGGACCCTCCTCTTTCTTCTTTTTATTCCCAATTTTAGTTTGCGGTTTCAGCTGGAAGGCGCAGTCTGAAGGTTTTATTCCGAAATCTTTTGTCCTAACACACCTTCATTTCTTTTTTGTCCTACAAGTTGAAAAGAAAACAACATGGAACTGAGTTTTGAGTATTGTTTCACCATAGTAATTGCCCTAGCGTTCCCAGAGCTTTTTTTTGGAGGGTAGGGATGAACCACTGGAATGTTTTGTATTTGTTCACTTTGGAAGGAGCATCAAGCCCCATGCAAAGCTTAGCTAACATTTGTGTTGCCTTTTGGGTAAGGAATTGTTCTCTGAGGAAGAATCTATGGTTAAGCTAGTATACAGAGGCTTTGCGTGGTAGCCATCTTGCAGGACAGTTCTTTTGTGCCACCGGCAAACCTGCTTTGTGCATACCCTGTGGAACAAGAGGGTTGGCCTTCAAGATGGCAGCCATGCAAACACTCTGTTGGATATCTGTAAGATGTCGGTTTGCCTCAGACTACAGTATGTTTACAAAGTACATGTACATGTACATGTATACCTGTACACACAAAGTGTGGAGGCACATGTACAGTGAACTGGCGGGCCCATCCACTCCTCAGTTGATTGGTAAAACCTATATGAGCAGTAAACAGAGGTTAACTGTCACACCAAACCTGATGACAGAATGGAGACATTGGCTTGGTGTTTACAGTTCAGGTTTGGCAATCTCAGAAGGGGTGTTGACATTTTGTATTGGTCACCCCAGACACAATAGCACTGTCAGGAAAGGATAACTTGGCGTATTTATGTATAGTGCAGCAGTTTTAGAGCATGCATATGTACAATGTGTGTACATCTATCCGTACATGTACCGCATGTAGACGTAAAATGCTCCCACCCCCTGTCAATAGTGGCTTTTCCATAGGGACTAGGCCCTACCCCTAAAGTAACAGCAGGCATTCTTTGCACTCTCTACTTTAGCCCTAACCCTACATAATTCTACAAATTACTACTTGTAGTAAAATGTAGTACTGAGCGCTGTCGCTTGTAAGAGGACATGACTTTATTGTTCTGTGAAGCCATAAGATACAGTAGAAAAGACAATGTACCATAAAGTGCTGTGGCACTATAAATGCATGGCTTTATTGTTCTCTGTACGAGTAACGATGGAAGTAACCTAGCCAGAAGTAGTAATCTGTAGCGCTAGGTCCTTCAGGCTCAGTGTAAGCCAAACAATATGCTTGGTGGTTCGGGCTAAAAGCTGCATTACCAAGTGCTAATGCCTTGCACAAAGAAGTCGTAATCGTGAGAGCTGGGGTACGGTACATGACATGTGGAGGCTTGCGGAATTGCACAACTGTTTGTGTTCCACTTGGAGCTCAGTGAATGTGCAACACACTTAACTGTTTCGGCAAAGAGGTCCGTGTACACAGAATTTGTGCCCAATATTAATAATGTACTAAACTACGGAGTACATGTATCGGGGATGTGACGTTATAGTACACAGGCACACTGCATACATATTGCCTACTCTATCCGCAGTTCAGTAAATACGAAAAGTCCCTCAATCGTAAACTTTGACCAAGTGTTAAAAGTTTGGTGTAAATTAAGTTTACCCATGTTGCATCCTATACTGTATGTATATTGTACATGTACCATGCATGATACATGTACATGTTGAACATGATACAGTACCCATTGATGCATTACTTGGTCGTGATTGTAAGCGAAAGGTGACTAACAGTGGCGAAGAGCTAGAAATAGAAAGCCAGATGTTCACGTTTTCCCTAGGTGATGCCGCTGAAGGCACAATTAGTCAGTCAGGAGCAGGCATCAGAGGGAAAGTTGTCTCAATCTCAAGAGCAGAAAGTTCCTTAGCCACCATCCTACTACCAGTACATGTACATGTACCAGTACGTTGCGATCACAGACAGCTTGGAAGTGTCAGGCACGTGCACTTTAATGACTTTTTTTTCCACGGCCATTTTTACGAAGTATGATTATTTACACTGTACCCACTTGAAGTTCAGGAAGTGGCAGTCTGTGTCAGTAACCAAAGTACATATTGTTTAGTTTACCAAACCACAAAGACTAAGGGTAAGATTCACTGGACACAATTACCTCTTTGGCCCTTTCTTTCAATTTTTGTTGAAACCTGAGCTTGTACAATAAACAAGTACAGATTTAAACACACCTGAACATGAAGTTACATGTATATCGTGTACGTAAACCTGTATTCGTGTATTATGTCATAGTTATCTTTTGAATAAAATTTGGGGGTTGAAAAAAGCAACCTTACAATGGTTTTACAAAACCTTTCTACACACCTTTTGAAATATCTCTCCTTTTCAAACAATGTGCTGTATATCCCCTGAAGAAGATGTATGTTCAGAACAAATTATACTTCTGTCAGATGCCCAGGAAATGTGACTGCCAAAAACCACCGTCTGGATACAATGCAGAACTTGTACATGTCTTCATTTTAGCTCACCCGACATGATTCAAGTGCTGAGTATTTAAATCATATCTTTCAAAATGTAAATAATTATGGGGAGAAAAACTTACTTGTCAATTTTGGCTTGTGGGTCTGGTATGGCATCAACATCTGGATAGATTTACACTCCCAGCATCAGATGAGTTAATGTTAAAAGGGAGTCCATGCGACCCTTGTCCACCATGTGTAACGGAATGTATCATTAATCACGTTCAACTGTGCTTTGTTTAGACTGGTGAACGAAGTTTGACATGCGGTGTACATGAAGACCTACCTCATGTGGAAGATGATCGGGCCTACCATAGAGCTAGGAACACATTGGCACACATGAACATACATGTACATGTATTGACTCAGAATCCTCAAGGACATTTCTGTGTCCAGATTTTAACCCTAGCAGTCCCGAATGCTACAAAGTACTACTTAGTAGTAAAATGTAGTACTCAGCCCTGTCGCTTGTAAGAGGACATGACATTATTATTCTCTGAAGCCATAAAATACAATCGAGAAGACAATGTACCATACAGTGCTGTGGCACTATGAATGCATGGTTTCATTGTTCTCTGTACGAGTAATGATGGAATAATGGAATAAACCTAGCCAGAAGTAGTAATTTGTAGCACTAGATCCTTCAGGCTCAGAGTGTTACGTAGTGTTTTGTAGTACTGAGTACTCTAAGCCAAACAACGCCCGGTACTGTTAAGGTTAATGGGGAAGGTGACATCACGAAGAGGCCATCATGTTTCACAAAGGTTCAGTGCATGCGGTACAACTGCATTGCCTCGGTTGCGTAAAGCATTAACCCATTCCGTACAGAAGGAATTGACGTTTACACG